TCTGCCTACTTTGATCTGAACATCATAGGAACATTGCAAATGCCCAATAATCAAAGCCTTTTATTACCAGCTTGGAGGCAATGGTGCCAGTGATGACAGCAAAGGAGCACAATGCCTGGACCCTGGGGTGGAGGTTGGATGGAGGCAACTGGAGGACCAGAGAGGGTAAAGGCAATGGAGAGGGAAAGATGAACTTTTGAAGCTGTTTCAATTTTAGTAATATCAATTTAATATTAATTTATTCAGTATCTTATGTTAGGATGGAGTGGTCGAACCCCTCTGATAATTAAAATAGTAACCCAAGCCCCCAGTCTGTTATGGTGGGAGTAGAGGTCCCCTTCTAATAATTAAACCTGAAACACCCAGAGAAGCTCGACTCATCTTGCCTAATCTGTTAAAAAGGAATGGTTAAATGAAAGAAAATCCCTGATATTCACATTATAAGCCATAAGTAACAATTTATTTATTTAACCCTAGCAGTGTACAAATTAGCAGAATTGCTAACAAACTGGACAATTCCCCCTTAACTACTAACCATTCCCTAACTGAACAAAATTCTACTGGTATGCCCTTCCAATAAATACTAGCCCTACTTATAAAAACCCAAGTAATAATAAAAATAAATTAAAACTTAGACTCTCTAAAGTACAGCAAGGTTAAGTCTTCCAAAATATTCATTTCCTTCTCCGTTGATCCTTCTGTCAGGAATGCTTTCTCTGTGAATTCTTCTGTCAGGAATCTTAGCTAGGAGTGCCATGGTACCTCTACAAATAGATGGGGCTTTCTCAGAGAGCTTAGAGATTTCTGTGAGAGTCAGATATTTACTCTTCAGATAGCTAGTCAAAAACCCTCTTCTTATATACCCCAGATGACCCGTCAATTTTCTTATAATAGGTTTAGTACAAGGTTGTCAAAACCATCAGATTTAAATTCAATTGGTTTTCAATCACTAAGTACTTGGTTTAAATTAATTGGCTGATCTGCAAGCTAGTTGCCAAAACATCAAAACAAGCCTTAGGTTTCCAATCACACAGCCAACTGATATATGTCTAAACCTCTTCAGCTGCTTACAGACACGTTTTCGTTTAAATCTTCAAGTTCAGAAAAGCACAACATCTCTTAAAGAGACTACGCACTCTTCCCCCCTGTCATTCTTACAAACAAATCCTACATTCCTGCCTTCCAATTCACAAGTACTGTACACAATTTCGTAACACTTACCAGCTATACAATTTATTTGGTAATTTATTCTGTAATTCAAGATGGCACTGGAATGTGGCAACATTATCTACTTTTCACTGTACCTAGGTACAAGTGATAATACCACTTAAGTCCAAATACATTCTAATTTTCTACCCTCCCCTTACTTATGAAGAATCGCTCTCGCTCTCTGCCTTAAAAATATTCTCAGATTTTGCTTCCAACACCTTTTGAGGAGGAGAATGCCAAAGATTCACAACCCTCTGAGAGAAAACATGTCTCTTCATCTGACTGATTGATTGACTGATTGTCATGTGTACCTTAGTACAGTGAAAAGCTTTGCTTATGAGCAGTACAGGCACATCATAGTAAGCAAGGGTGTACAGATCAAAAAGACTTAAACAGAGGCATACAGGTTACATTGCACAGGGCGTGAGTAGGCGAGATCAACATTATCAAATGGAATTTGCAAACAGCGGTCCCAGGTTCTTGAATCTCCCCCAAGAGGAAGCATCT